CAAATGATTTATGGGAGTATGTTGAAGATGGATATGATGACCCCAAAGATGTCGATTTTTTGACGGATGCTCAAAAGCAAGTATTGAAAGCACATAAGAGAAANCGGATATGATGACCCCGAAGACGTCGATTTTTTGACGGATGCTCAAAAACAAGTATTGAAAGCACATAAGAGAAAGGATGCAAGAGCTCTCTCAATGATTCAACAAGGAGTTTCGAACAAGATTTTTCCGAGAATCATCAACGAGACCAAGGCAAAGGATGCTTGGGATATTCTTCAAAAGGAGTATCTGGGCAACTTGAAGGTAAGAGCAATTAAACTTCAATCTTTGAGAAGAGATTTTGAAGATATGAAAATGAAAGATGGTGAAGTGTTGCAAGATTATTTTTCTAGATTGATGGAAGTTGTGAACCAAATGAAAATACGTGGGGATAATATAACTAATGAAAGAATTGAGGAAAAAATTTTAATTACGTTGATGGCAGATTATAAGCCAATTGTTGCGGTTCTTGAAAATACTAAGAACATTGAAACCTTGAGTGTTGAAGAATTGATGGGTTCAATTAAAGCATTTGAGAAAAAATTGAGTAAGCAAAAGGATAAGTCACTTGAAAGTGTTTTCCAATCTAAGCTCAATGTTAGTGGTTCTAAAAGTCAAGGAAGCTCTTAGAATTTCAATCAATCGGAAGGTAGAAAAAGGACAGGTAAATTTGATAATGGAAAAGGTAAAGGAAATAATAAGTTTCACAAGAAGAATTTTCAAAGACAAAAAATTGAGTCCACCCAAAAAAAATTTAAAATTTGTAATCGAAGTAGTCATGTAAAGAAAGATTGTTGGTTTAAGGGGATGCCACAATTCTATAATTGAAAGAAATTTAGGCATGTGAAGAAGAATTGTAGAGTAACCAACCAACAAGCTAATTTTACCAAAAAAAAAAGAAGTTGATGGGAACATGCTTTATGCGTGTCACAATGCTTTAGAGAAAAAATGTGATGTTTGGTTTGTTGATAGTGGTTGTAGTAACCACATGACCGGTAATGAAAGTATTTTTGCCAACCTTGATGTTTCCTCCAATTCGCAAGTCAAAATGGGTAATGGTGCCTTAATCCAAGCAAAAGCAAAGAGTACTTTTGCGGTGGAGACCAAGAAAGGAACAAGATACATTAGAGGTGTTTTACTAGTTCCGAACTTGGAGCAAAATTTGTTGAGTGTTGGTCAAATGGTAGAGCATAGGTATGTAGTTCACTTTGAAGATGACACTTGCAAGATTTATGAAAAAGGGGGGAGCAAGCAAATGGTGTCAACAATCAAAATGGACAAAACCAGAAGTTTTCCGCTCACTTTGAGGTATGCAAAAAATTTTGCTTTGAAGATGAATATTGTGGATGAGACTTGGCTTTGCCCTAAAAGATTTGGCCACTTGAATTTTGAAAAGTTTGAAGTATCTACAACAAAAGGGCATGGTGCATGGGTTGTCGATGATTCAAGAAGTTAATAAAGTTTGTGAAGGTTGTGCTCTTGGGAAACAACACCGGGAGACCTTTCCAAAAGACAAGAAGACATGTAGAGCAAAAGCACTATTGGAGCTTGTTCATACCGATGTGTGCGGGCCTGTGGACACAGCAACTCATGGAGGTAACAAGTATTTCATTACTTTCATTGATGATTTTTCTAGATTGACATGGGTTTACTTTATGAGACAAAAATCATATGTGTTTAATGTTTTTTGAAAATTTTAAAGTCTTGTTGAGAGGCAAAGTGGCTACCTTATGAAAGTGTTAAGAAGTGATGGAGGTGGTGAGTATAACTCTAATGAATTTATGAAGTTTTGTGAAGATATTAGGATGGAAAGACAATTGACCGTTGGGTATACTCTACAACAAAATAGAGTGGTAGAGAGAAAAAATAAAACAATTGAAGAAATGTCTAAATCAATGTTTCATGAAAAAGGTTTGCCCAAAATTTTTTGGGGTGAGGCCTTTAACACGGGGATTTACCTGTTGAATAGATGTCGAACAAAAACCCTTTCAAACAAAACTCCATTTGAAGCTTGGAGTAAAAGAAAGCCCTCAATTAATCACTTGAAAGTGTTTTGGTGTATTTGTTATGCACACGTTCCCAAAGAAAAGAGACATAAACTTGATGAAGTTAGTGAAAAATGTATCTTTGTGGGCTATAGCACTCAATCAAAAGGCTATAGGCTCTACAATTTAAAAAAAGATAAGTTGATCATTTCAAGAGATGTCATATTGATGAAAAAGCCTCTTGAGATTAGAAAGAAAAGAACGTGCAAAATCATTTTTCTCCTACTTATGAAGAGGTGGGAAATGAAAAAAGTGATGATGAGGATCTTGATGTTCCAAATCAAATGTCTCTTATTGCTAGTCCACAATCAACTACATCAAACTCAAGTTCTTTGTCTCCAAGTTGAACTCCAATAAAAATGAGACGTGTTAGTGATGTGTATACAAGATGCAACTTTTGTGTGGTTGAATCGGAGAACTTTGAAGAAGCAATTAAACTATAAGTTTGGAAAAAAAGCAATACAAAAGGAGATCCGGTGATTGAAAAGAACAAGACATGAGAGTTGGTGGAGAGACTCAAAGAAAAAGAAGTGATTGGTGTGAAGTGGATTTACAAAACAAAGCTTAATCCGGATGGGTTAATTCAAAAGAACAAAGCAAGGCTTGTTGCAAAGGGGTATTCTCAACAATCGGGTGTTGATTATCAAGAAACATTTGCACCTATGGCTCGGCTTGACACAATTAGAGCACTTGTTGCTTTAGCGGCTAAAAAGGGATGGTTCTTGTACCAACTTGATGTGAAGTCCGCATTTTTAAATAGAGACTTGAAGGAAGAGGTGTATGTGGATCAACCTCAAGGCTTTGTTTTCAAAGGAAAAGAAGATAAAGTTTATAAGTTGAAGAAGGCATTATATGGGTTGAAACAAGCACCCCGAGCATGGTATAGCAAGATCGATTCCTACTTCAACAATAAAGGATTTCAAATGAGCAAAAGCGAGCCAACCTTTTACGTCAAAAAATAAGGTAACACTGGTATTCTTATTATTTCTCTTCATGTTGATGATCTTGTTTTTTACCGAAAATAATGAAAAGATGCTTCAAGAATTTAAAAGGGACATGATGAAAAAATATGAGATGAGTGATTTGGGTTTGTTACATTACTTCTTGGGATTTGAAGTTTTTCAATATGAAGATGGTGTTTTTTTCACAAATGAAGTATGCAAAAACTCTCATTGAAAAGTTTAAAATGGTGAATTGCAAGTCGGTTGCTACACTTTGGTGGTGAATGAAAAGTTGACAAAAAAAGATGGAAGTAAAGATGTTGATACTTCTCTTTATAGAAGTTTGATTGGAAGTTTGTTATATTTGACAGCTACAAGGCCGGACATTATGTTTGCTACAAGTTTATTATCTCGGTTTATGCATAGTCCAAGCTAAACTCATTTTGGGGCAACAGAAAGAGTTTTGAGATACATCAAAGGTACCCTTGATTATGGGATTTTGTTTGAGAAAAATGTGGATGCAAAGTTGATTGGATTTTGCGATAGTGATTGGGNTATGAACTGAGTCCATGGGCTCTAATACTCCCCCTCTAGTTGAGGTGGGATGAAGACATTACACCCAACTTGCTGTGAAGGGAAGAAAACACTTCACGGGCCAAAAATTTTGTAAATATGTCACTGATTTGATCGGCAGATGGAACAAAGTGAGTAGTAATAGTACCTTGGGCCACTTTTTCTCTAACAAAGTGATAATCCAACTCAGTGTGCTTAGTTCGAGCATAAAAAAAGGGTTGATTGAGAGATGAAGAGCCCCCAATTATCACAAAATAAGGAGCAAGGACGAGGTAGGTTGATGCCCAATATACAAAGAATATAAGTGGTCCAAGTAATTTCAGTAATTGTGACTGCAAGAGCAGGATATTCGGCTTCAGTACTTGAACATGCAACTGTTGGTTGTTTCTTGGCTTCCTAGGACACAAGATTAGACTCAAGAAAAATGGAAACACCAGTGGTAGAGCGACGAGTCAGTGGACAACCAGCCCAATCAGCATAAAAAAAAGCGTAAAGATCAAGAACGTTTCTCTTGAGCAAGTGGAGGCCAAAATCTAGTGTTCCTTGAACATAGCGAAGAATACGCTTGACCAAGGCCACATGAATGGACGTGGGACTATGCATGTATTGACTAACAAGATTCATAAAGTAGGTAATGTCTGGTCGAGTTAAGGTTAAATATTGCAGAGCTCCAACAAGACAACGAAAAACAATTGGGTCAATAGCAGTGGGACTTGACAAAGCAGTATCAACTTTTGTAGCCAAGGGTGTAGGGATAGGCTTGTAGGAAGAGATATTTGCACGAGTTGTCTGAGGTCATACAACAGGACTATATGTGTCAACAAAGTCAATATCAGAAATTTGATGAAAGCCTTTGGCGACCAACCGAGCTTTGAGACAATCGAGGGTTCCATCAGCATGGACTTTAGTTTTGAATACCCATTTACATCCCACAACATTTTTGGATTCCTGACGAGGAACTAGAGTCCAAGTCTGGTTTCGTTGAAGAGCCTGCAACTCTTCATTCATGGCAGCAAACCATCCAGGATGAGCCAAAGCCATTTTGACAGTCTTAGGTTCAAATGGAAGAGTACTTAAGGACGAGTGTGTCACATGAATAAGGCCTGATCTAGCCTTTCCTCTGGTGCACATGGAATGAGTATTGGTGGAAAAATGAAGCAAATTGTTTCCCTGTGGAATTGGACCAAGATCTACATTTAACTGTCCAGTGGCCACATATGGTGTTGCAGTAGTAGGCAAAACTGGATTGCTATGTGGTGAACTTAGTGAAGATATGCTAAAGTTGACGATGTCTCTACAGAACAAGGTGGTGATGAAGGAGGTAATATAGATACAGTGGATTCCAAAGAGGGAGACAATACTGGTAAAACAGGCTCAGTTGATACTTCGAGTAGTAGTTATGATGAGGAATCCAATATCCGACCAGCTGAGGAGGATGCAGGAGGTTGTAAACATGCACCAACAGATGGAAATGACTGAGGAGCTAAATTGGGATCTTCCAAAGAATTTAAGGTACTCCCCCTTGATGGTATTTGAGATTGTTCCTGCTAGGAGATGGAAGAGTTATCCAAGGGATCAACCCATTTATGAAAGGTGCTAAAACCAGCCGATGTATTATCTGAGACAGAAGAACTGGGGTTAGGTGAAAAGGGAAAGCACATCTCATTGAAAACCACATGTCTAGAAATGTAGATTCTTCCACTTAGAGGATGCAGACACCTATAGCCCTTATGAAGATTACTGTACCCAATAAAAACACATGGTCGTGTTTTCTCTGAAAATTTGTTCTTGCTGGTATCCTTGATATATGGGTAACATTTGCACCCAAAAGCTCTTAAGGAAGAATAATCAGGATCTTTGTTGTATAGGAGAGAAAAAAGTGTGTCCAGCCGATTAATTAGAAATGCAGCGGTAAAGAATGCTTCGACCCACAGTCTCTTTGCTAATCCTGGGTGAAACAACATGGTCATACCCAATTCACGAATATGTCTATGTTTGCGCTCAGCTACACCATTTTGCTCTGGTGTAGATGGACAAGAAATTTGCTGAAAGATTCCCTTGTTTGACAAATCACGTAAGATTTGATTATTCCGAAATTCACCACCCCCATCACATTGGTATATTTTTATTTGCTTGCCAAATTGGGTATTTACCATTGCAATATACTACATAAAACAAGCCATGAAATCTGATTTATTCTTAAGAGGATAAAGCCACACAAAATGGGAGTAGACATCCACAAAAAGAGCATAGTATCTGAACTTCTGCATAGAATTTATTTGGGCTGGTCCCCATAGATCACCATGAATTTTATCAAAAGGGAGAAAGGGATCTTGTATTAGTATGAATAAATGGAAGTTTACAACTTTTTCCAAGCTAACAACTTTCAGATAAATCAAATTTATTGTTCCAAGAAATAACATCAATCTTATTTTTTCCAGAGAGATGAGACAAAATTCTCTTATTTGGTTGACCAAGCAGTTGATGCCATACTTCGTCAGAGGTTTGCATTTGTCGAATAGAGAACAATGCCTGATGGTTACCNATTGTGACTGCAAGAGCAGGATATTCGGCTTCAGTACTTGAACATGCAACTGTTGGTTGTTTCTTGGCTTCCTAGGACACAAGATTAGACTCAAGAAAAATGGAAACACCAGTGGTAGAGCGACGAGTCAGTGGACAACCAGCCCAATCAGCATAAAAAAAAGCGTAAAGATCAAGAACGTTTCTCTTGAGCAAGTGGAGGCCAAAATCTAGTGTTCCTTGAACATAGCGAAGAATACGCTTGACCAAGGCCACATGAATGGACGTGGGACTATGCATGTATTGACTAACAAGATTCATAAAGTAGGTAATGTCTGGTCGAGTTAAGGTTAAATATTGCAGAGCTCCAACAAGACAACGAAAAACAATTGGGTCAATAGCAGTGGGACTTGACAAAGCAGTATCAACTTTTGTAGCCAAGGGTGTAGGGATAGGCTTGTAGGAAGAGATATTTGCACGAGTTGTCTGAGGTCATACAACAGGACTATATGTGTCAACAAAGTCAATATCAGAAATTTGATGAAAGCCTTTGGCGACCAACCGAGCTTTGAGACAATCGAGGGTTCCATCAGCATGGACTTTAGTTTTGAATACCCATTTACATCCCACAACATTTTTGGATTCCTGACGAGGAACTAGAGTCCAAGTCTGGTTTCGTTGAAGAGCCTGCAACTCTTCATTCATGGCAGCAAACCATCCAGGATGAGCCAAAGCCATTTTGACAGTCTTAGGTTCAAATGGAAGAGTACTTAAGGACGAGTGTGTCACATGAATAAGGCCTGATCTAGCCTTTCCTCTGGTGCACATGGAATGAGTATTGGTGGAAAAATGAAGCAAATTGTTTCCCTGTGGAATTGGACCAAGATCTACATTTAACTGTCCAGTGGCCACATATGGTGTTGCAGTAGTAGGCAAAACTGGATTGCTATGTGGTGAACTTAGTGAAGATATGCTAGAGTTGACGATGTCTCTACAGAACAAGGTGGTGATGAAGGAGGTAATATAGATACAGTGGATTCCAAAGAGGGAGACAATACTGGTAAAACAGGCTCAGTTGATACTTCGAGTAGTAGTTATGATGAGGAATCCAATATCCGACCAGCTGAGGAGGATGCAGGAGGTTGTAAACATGCACCAACAGATGGAAATGACTGAGGAGCTAAATTGGGATCTTCCAAAGAATTTAAGGTACTCCCCCTTGATGGTATTTGAGATTGTTCCTGCTAGGAGATGGAAGAGTTATCCAAGGGATCAACCCATTTATGAAAGGTGCTAAAACCAGCCGATGTATTATCTGAGACAGAAGAACTGGGGTTAGGTGAAAAGGGAAAGCACATCTCATTGAAAACCACATGTCTAGAAATGTAGATTCTTCCACTTAGAGGATGCAGACACCTATAGCCCTTATGAAGATTACTGTACCCAATAAAAACACATGGTCGTGTTTTCTCTGAAAATTTGTTCTTGCTGGTATCCTTGATATATGGGTAACATTTGCACCCAAAAGCTCTTAAGGAAGAATAATCAGGATCTTTGTTGTATAGGAGAGAAAAAAGTGTGTCCAGCCGATTAATTAGAAATGCAGCGGTAAAGAATGCTTCGACCCACAGTCTCTTTGCTAATCCTGGGTGAAACAACATGGTCATACCCAATTCACGAATATGTCTATGTTTGCGCTCAGCTACACCATTTTGCTCTGGTGTAGATGGACAAGAAATTTGCTGAAAGATTCCCTTGTTTGACAAATCACGTAAGATTTGATTATTCCGAAATTCACCACCCCCATCACATTGGTATATTTTTATTTGCTTGCCAAATTGGGTATTTACCATTGCAATATACTACATAAAACAAGCCATGAAATCTGATTTATTCTTAAGAGGATAAAGCCACACAAAATGGGAGTAGTCATCCACAAAAAGAGCATAGTATCTGAACTTCTGCATAGAANAACCCATTTATGAAAGGTGCTAAAACCAGCCGATGTATTATCTGAGACAGAAGAACTGGGGTTAGGTGAAAAGGGAAAGCACATCTCATTGAAAACCACATGTCTAGAAATGTAGATTCTTCCACTTAGAGGATGCAGACACCTATAGCCCTTATGAAGATTACTGTACCCAATAAAAACGCATGGTCGTGTTTTCTCTGAAAATTTGTTCTTGCTGGTATCCTTGATATATGGGTAACATTTGCACCCAAAAGCTCTTAAGGAAGAATAATCAGGATCTTTGTTGTATAGGAGAGAAAAAAGTGTGTCCAGCCGATTAATTAGAAATGCAGCGGTAAAGAATGCTTCGACCCACAGTCTCTTTGCTAATCCTGGGTGAAACAACATGGTCATACCCAATTCACGAATATGTCTATGTTTGCACTCAGCTACACCATTTTGCTCTGGTGTAGATGGACAAGAAATTTGCTGAAAGATTCCCTTGTTTGACAAATCACGTAAGATTTGATTATTCCGAAATTCACCACCCCCATCACATTGGTATATTTTTATTTGCTTGCCAAATTGGGTATTTACCATTGCAATATACTACATAAAACAAGCCATGAAATCTGATTTATTCTTAAGAGGATAAAGCCACACAAAATGGGAGTAGTCATCCACAAAAAGAGCATAGTATCTGAACTTCTGCATAGAATTTATTTGGGCTGGTCCCCATAGATCACCATGAATTTTATCAAAAGGGAGAAAGGGATCTTGTATTAGTATGAATAAATGGAAGTTTACAACTTTTTCCAAGCTAACAACTTTCAGATAAATCAAATTTATTGTTCCAAGAAATAACATCAATCTTATTTTTTCCAGAGAGATGAGACAAAATTCTCTTATTTGGTTGACCAAGCAGTTGATGCCATACTTCGTCAGAGGTTTGCATTTGTCGAATAGAGAACAATGCCTGATGGTTACCAATAGAATAGAGTCCTCCTGCTTTAGTTCCGAATGCCACCACCTTCTCTGTCAACTTGTTCTAGAGGAAAATTCAAACACATAAGAAGTATCATTAGTTAGTTGTCCCACATAAAGTAAATTTTTAGTGAGATTGGGAACCAATAATACACCATCCATTTCTAAAGTTCCTTGATTAGTAGAAATAGAAGTAGTCCCAACATGAGTGATGGGAAGATTTTCTCCATTCCCTATGATGACAGTATCATGACCATGATAAGGTTGGAGGTTTTGCAAAATACCTGAATTTCCTGTCATGTGTGATGTGGATCTAGTATCAGGTATCCAATCTGGGTCGCTAGAATTGCATTGCGGCTAGAGCTTGTGGGATATCTTTAGATTGGAAGGAAAGGTTGTAACGATTATAGCAATTCATGGCATTGTGCCCTTATTTGCCGCAAATTTGGCAAGGGATACGGTAACAATTAGGTGTGGAATGGTTGGTTTTTCCACAGATGTGACATTCTTTTACTTGTGAGCCAATTGTTGCCATACTGCCTTTGACATCCTTCTGGTTCTGGGATAGGATCTTTCCACTATAGGTTCAGTTTTGAGGAGTTTGAACAAACCCCCGACCTTTGGAATTGAAAAACACAGATTTTCATTTGTTTTTGGAATAATTGTTATTTCCACTGCGACTATATGGCTGTTTCTGTGCAACAAAAGCTTGAAACTCACTGAGTTCTTCACTTCCTGGGTATATTCTGTTTCTTGTTTCATAACCTGTTACGGAATGGAAAAATTGCGAAAAGGAAGGAAAATGGGGTTTTGCCATGATAGCATTGATAAGTGGGTCGAATTTGGCCCCTAGACCATTCATTGCCCACACCACCTTATCAAAATCAGACAAGGTTTTTTTGATAGCAGCCAGTTCATCACATACTTGTTTGAACAGAGACAGAAAATCAGACACGGACTCGTTAGTCTCTTTAGGAATTCTTTGAAGATCTCGGTAGAGATTAAATTCTCTTTCTTCTGACGTTGAAGCAAAGCTTTTCTCCAAAAAGGAGCATACTTCAAGAGATGTTTCCATACCAATGATATGGCTGAGGATGCTCTCTATAACGGTGCCATAAATCAAGCTTTTCAGCAACCAATCAGTTTTTCTCCAAGCAGTAAAAATCGGGTTGGGTTCGTCCTTCCCTTCGGCTGTAGTAACAGTGGGTTTTGGAGGTTGAGACTTACCATTCAGGTGATCAAAAAGAGCAGCTCCTATGACTAGATCAAGAACTTGACTCCTCCAAATCAAGTAATTTTTGGCTGTGACTTTTACACTCACCGTGGCTGACAATTGAGGAAGAATTTCAAGAGTTAAAGAAGAGGCCATTTCTGAAGTCCACTTAGTCCATGGGCTCTAATTTCTATTGTGTGTATGAGTGCATGAGTGAATGCATGTTACAAGTTATATGTATGTAGCCAAAAATGCATTGTTTTAATAAGTTTTGTATCGTTATAATTCATCCCTTGTTTGGAAAAAATTCAACGATTGTTTTTTTATTAATAAATTTGTTTGTTACAACCTTGGTTATAACCTTGATTCCTAGTACCACTTTTATTTTTTAGCAATTATGATGTCACGTATTCTCTTTAGACATGTAGAAAAAAGTGATGACGACGACATTGAAGAAAAATTTGTTTACGACAGTATTGATGCAACTAATGGAGTTTTAAATGGCCAGAGTGATCAAATTGAGTTTAAAGTTGGTGCAAAAGAAGCATTTAATATGTATAAAAGCAATATTATAGGAACCTTATTTGGAGACATTATTTAAGTACCTAATGATGTGGTTTCAATGCAACTATTAGATTACTTGTGAGTTNGAGCAATATTATAGGGACCTTATTTGGAGACATTATTTAAGTACCTAATGATGTGATTTCAATGCAACTATTAGATTACTTGTGAGTTTTAATGTTAGATGAAGCTCACAACCAATCTAATAAGGCCCCCAAATAAGATTCAAATAGCATTTTCCTATGTATAATGAGTATGTAGTTAACAAAAGTTATAACATTCAAAGAGATCAAAAGAGTTTAAAAGAAGTACACATGAAACTTATTCGACAAAGTTTTGTGTGTTCAAGAGAGGGGAACTAATTTATATTTATATTTTTTCTATAATTATCTGATCAAGTCTATGATTGTTGCATTCTTGGTAGTTTATTCCAATGTTTGGCATGGCAATACCAAACAACCTAATAGAAAAAAAAAATGATAATCTTGTAGGGCTCTTCCACTATGTTATAAGAAGTTCAAATTTTCCTAATCTGCTAGACATAAACTAAGCATTTCAGGATAATAGTTGCAATACCAATTTGAGTGGAAAGTGTAACTCAATGTGTTATATATGGATAGAACAAGTGGTGCGAGAGAAATACAAATACAAGTAACGAATGTTCCAACAATGCCCAATAAACTACCTTCTCATTTTATCAAGCAACTCACTAAAGTACCATAACATTTCCGTATCCACTGTCCATCAATTATAACAATTTTTTTCTCAAGCCGCAACTCTCCATTAATTTATAGCAACTAGTTATAAATTGAACAATAATAATTCATCCATTTATAATTTGAACAATAATTCATTTATGTAATTAACATAAGTTTATAATGTAACTAATTTAACATCGAAGATTGGGTCAAATCAAACCAAAATCTAAGAAGAAAAGTATTAAATAAAATTTAGCTTATAATCCTAAGGAAGTTTATAAATATCTAAACGAATATCATATCTATGTATTAACCCATGAAGAAAATCCACACCCATGTGTCATTTTATTGGAATTTTTATTTAGTTGAAACAATAAATAAAATAGCTAGAACTCCTAGTCCAAATGTCTCTAACCATTAAGCCTCTAATCACTGCTCATCAATCATTATCTCAATTACAATTGCCATTGCTGGTGATAGGAAATGAACATGCTTTATGCCCAGACATATATTATTTTATTGGCTTTTTTTTTTTTGTTCATTTTTTTTCAATTTTATCTTTGGGTTTTGGTTACTTTTGCCATAGGAAAATTGCTAAAATGGATAAGTATATAGAATTGAGAAATGGTTAGAAAGGTATTTCGGCTACCTACTTATGGATGTTTTTATTTTCATATTAGAATATCATTGCTATTCTCCAATTCAACCAAGTTGGACAAAATCAAGGCGAATAAGTTAGCTTTATGTAAAAGAAACATTCACAGATGGAGAATTGCATGGATCTCATTAGTCAATTCTACGTTATGTTAGCTTTTATTGCATGGAGAGAGTTTTTTGATAAATTTTTAAACATTTTATTTCACTCTAGTCATGTATACTTGTCACTTCACCGTAGATTTTTCATCTGACGCTCAAATATATGTGTCTTTTATATTCTCATTTGTACCACAAAAGAAATAGTAGGATATTAGGTTAAAATTTATTAGTCAATTCTTCTACTAACTGAACCTCGTTAACTATTTGTTCTCCTTTGCTAATATGCATTCCACCTTCGTGAAACTTCTCATTAACTTTTTTTGTCATGTTCTCCACTTCTTATATCACACTCTCCACAATATCTGGAACATTTTCTACTTTCTCGATCACACTTTCGAGCTCCCATGTACATTCAAAGTAGAGGTGTTTGCAGAGGATAAACTCATTCTCTAAGAAATATAATAATTAATAAAGACTGATCACTATTTTTTAAGACAAAGTGTAAAGATTTGTATTCCCAAGTAGATATAATTTGTTCATGAATCCTTACTTGTGAATTTAAAGATCCAATGGCTAAACAAACATACAGCTCCAACCACTTCAGCGATGCAACGTAACCTCTCGAAAGATGCAACCCATCCTGAAACAAACTGGGAATTATTCAAGTAAATAAAATCATCACATGCAGTGCATGAATGAATATGACAAACTTTCAAGGCATTATTAAGAATCANAAGCAATATTATAGGAACCTTATTTGGAGACATTATTTAAGTACCTAATGATGTGGTTTCAATGCAACTATTAGATTACTTGTGAGTTTTAATGTTAGATGAAGCTCACAACCAATCTAATAAGACCCCCAAATAAGATCCAAATAGCATTTTCCTATGTATAATGAGTATGTAGTTAACAAAAGTTATAACATTCAAAGAGATCAAAAGAGTTTAAAAGAAGTACACAGGAAACTTNAAGATTGCCTTTTTTCTTTTGCATGTGTATTTTTCAAATAAAATTCAAAACCTGAGAGAGGATTAACTACTCATTAGATGAGGTTCCATCCAAATTCATGTGATGATGTACAAAACAGACTTTTGCACAATCAATAGTTGAGTGTACCGTTCAGAATAATTAATGAAACAATCAATAGCAAAAGACAAATATTGGGTCAACACACACATATATATATATATATATAGTGGTTCGGTCAAGGGGATCTACTCCACTTCTGAAGGTGGCAATGATGGCCGAAGACTTTTATTAATAAAGTAAGATGTGAGAGAGGGAGAGAGCAAATGTAAACTCTGGGAGAGGTTGGCTAGCTAGGAGAGGGAAATAGTTGTGTGGAGGGTGTGTAGAGAAATGTCTCTCTCATGTAGAGAGAGCTTATAATTTATAGGCACAGAGTCTTAGTTGAGGCGGTGATTTAATGGGTAGGTTATTAGCTTTTAGGAGAAGATAGCTACAACTAGGGTAGGTACAATTATAGATAGTCTTGATCTTGGAAAGTGACTATCTCGATAATTACTCTTCACATGCGCTAATCTTCTTAGACTCCTTGATCTTTGGACTGGGCCGAATCCATGAATTGGGCTTGACCCGCTTTGTAGCTGATTTGAGCTTAATTAATTGGTTAGGCTTGACCCAGTCTAAATTGGGCTTATCATTTGCCCCTCATGCCCCAAGCCCCAATTTCTTGCGAGAGAAGGGAATTAAGGGTATGAGTAAGCTCTGAATAGGTAAGAGGTTTCTTGTTTTGCACAATGGCTTCTTCATTCTTTCAATCGCAAAGTTTCTCTTCTTCACTTGGTAACTCCATGGGTGGGCAATGATTATAGTAGCAAACAATCTTCTCCACTGAGTTTTTCATTAGTAAAAAACCCCTTTTTCATTTAGGGCTTGGCCTATTAGCCAGGAAACTTATAACCCTTGAAAGTACTTTGAGCCCTTTCATTCTTTATAGCCTCTATTCTTCCATCTCTCTCCCTCATCTTTTTCTTTTGAACAATTTCCCAATGCAAGGAACTTTCCAAAAGAACNCATACAGCTCCAACCACTTCAGCGATGCAACGTAACCTCTCGAAAGATGCAACCCATCCTGAAACAAACTGGGAATTATTCAAGTAAATAAAATCATCACATGCAGTGCATGAATGAATATGACAAACTTTCAAGGCATTATTAAGAATCATAACAAGCTTTCAACGCTTCCATCAACACGTGAAAAATTATTGATAAACACATCTCAAAAAAAATTCAAAGTAACTGATCCAAGATTGCCTTTTTTCTTTTGCATGTGTATTTTTCAAATAAAATTCAAAACCTGAGAGAGGATTAACTACACATTAGATGAGGTTCCATCCAAATTCATGTGATGATGTACAAAACAGACTTTTGCACAATCAATAGTTGAGTGTACCGTTCAGAATAATTAATGAAACAATCAATAGCAAAAGACAAATATTGGGTCAACACACACATATATATATATATATATAGTGGTTCGGTCAAGGGGATCTACTCCACTTCTGAAGGTGGCAATGATGGCCGAAGACTTTTATTAATAAAGTAAGATGTGAGAGAGGGAGAGAGCAAATGTAAACTCTGGGAGAGGTTGGCTAGCTAGGAGAGGGAAATAGTTGTGTGGAGGGTGTGTAGAGAAATGTCTCTCTCATGTAGAGAGAGCTTATAATTTATAGGCACAGAGTCTTAGTTGAGGCGGTGATTTAATGGGTAGGTTATTAGCTTTTAGGAGAAGATAGCTACAACTAGGGTAGGTACAATTATAGATAGTCTTGATCTTGGAAAGTGACTATCTCGATAATTACTCTTCACATGCGCTAATCTTCTTAGACTCCTTGATCTTTGGACTGGGCCGAATCCATGAATTGGGCTTGACCCGCTTTGTAGCTGATTTGAGCTTAATTAATTGGTTAGGCTTGACCCAGTCTAAATTGGGCTTATCATTTGCCCCTCATGCCCCAAGCCCCAATTTCTTGCGAGAGAAGGGAATTAAGGGTATGAGTAAGCTCTGAATAGGTAAGAGGTTTCTTGTTTTGCACAATGGCTTCTTCATTCTTTCAATCGCAAAGTTTCTCTTCTTCACTTGGTAACTCCATGGGTGGGCAATGATTATAGTAGCAAACAATCTTCTCCACTGAGTTTTTCATTAGTAAAAAACCCCTTTTTCATTTAGGGCTTGGCCTATTAGCCAGGAAACTTATAACCCTTGAAAGTACTTTGAGCCCTTTCATTCTTTATAGCCTCTATTCTTCCATCTCTCTCCCTCATCTTTTTCTTTTGAACAATTTCCCAATGCAAGGAACTTTCCAAAAGAAGATGGAGAGAGATGGCGACGCCCTTTTACCCACATGGCGGTGCCCACCAAGGCGACACCCCAGGTGATATCAGTAGTGATCTTGAGGCTGGGAGAAGAAGCGATGACGTCGTAGCTGAGGACGAAGGCGATGGCGACGTCGTTCTTGGAGGATTGGGCGGCGCTAGTAAGCTGGGCGATGCTAGTCTGATGCATGGCAAGCGATGGCTAGGTGGGCTCGAGGCAAATGGCTCCAGCAGGTGTAGGTGTCTCTGGCAACGATGGGCACAGGCTAGGTGGATCTAGTTCATCGACCTAAATGATGGGCGACACCAGTGAGCTGCTGGGCAGCATCAGCTCCTTGGGCGACTCTATGAGCACAATGGGCGATAGAGATGTGGGCTCGAGCAATATCGATCCTGCTACCAAGAGTTTAGGTGAGGCTGACCTAGCTATGAGGACCTCAAGGTCGACCCAGGCTAGCAATGCTTATCAGCGGGAAGCTAGAGCTAATAGGGATGGCGCCCGTAGCACTAGCGCGCGCTATGGGAGTTGGTGCCCATGGTGCAGGCGACGATGTAGGAGGCAGCCTTCGTTCTAATCTGGACAAGGGCAAAATGACAACAGGCAGCACTAGTTGCACGCTTATTGAGCCAGACGATATGTCTGGGGCAAGAGCAGGAAGACCTGGCTTTGGTACTGAAGCGGCGTCTACTAGAGTGGTCGGTAATGCAGCTAACGGACCAAACTATGGAGGGAAACAAGGTACCGTCTTTTGACTAGGTAACTTGTTCATGTCTTTCTTGCACCCATTATTGGCTTTTGTTTCACCATGTATCCGAGCTGGTAAGGGTAATAAGGTGGAGGTTAGGCAGGCTTCACAGTGAGGCAAATGAATTGCTAAATATGATGGGTCAAAGGTAATCTCGATCTCTAGCTCCATAGACTGTAACGAAGACATTGCCTACATCATATCTTCGTTTTGTATCCCTCCCACCGTTATGTGTCATCGAGCCGAGGAGGACGAGCCGGCATGTTATGATTCCTCAGGAGAGATTGTTCTTTACGAGGATATCCTGGAGGCGGGGTTAAGGCTCCTAATACCCGGGCCCATATGTCAGATCTTGGGACACCTATCACTAACTCCAGGGAGGTTAACTCTCAATGGTTGGAGGGTGATTATGACATTCTTCTCATTATGGCGGCTGGTTCACAGTGCTGATGTTCCTCCCCCTTTCTAGGAGTTTTTTACTTCGTACGTGCTTTGGAGAACTCTACTCCTCATCAAGGGTGGTATCGTTTTGCCCCGAGGTTGGGCAAGCTTATTACTGGAATATCCTCGAATTGCCACAGTTGGAGATGTGTAGATAAATTTAGGCTTTTGAATCACCTGATTTAGATTTCGAAAACTCAAGTTATAACCCACTGAAGTTTACTGGTCCAATCAGGATTCGAATCAGCTTTCCAGGCCTAACTTTGAAACAATGTTTGGAAGCCCAAACGAACTCGGATATTTGCAAACCATACCTTTCTGAAAAGCTTAAGATGTCCTCGAAAAACTTTATGAAGACCACTTTCTCATTCTTAAACTCTAACGTCATCCAAACCTCAATTGAAGCTCCACAGATCGAACTGCCTAAAAGCTGGAAATTGCACAATAATACTCTATATCTATTCTTTTACCTTCAATGCTTCCCTAATTCATTAAATATATTAATCAGATCACTTAAAGAGAAAATATGTCATAAAACTAAATATAAAGGAATTAGAAATATTAAATATTATGCTCCTATCAAAATTGCTTGAAGTGGCCGCTATTAAATTGATGGCATTGTCTGACACTATGGCTCAAGGTATTTCAAACTAAATAATAATTTTCTTCCAAAATTCTTGGTGTTAATGTCTCGATTTTGAGTCAATAGCTTTGTTTCCACCGATTTGGTGAAGTAATGAGTGGATATTAACAAAAATTCTTATTCCTCAAGGATTTCAATAAGGGCTAATGATATCCAATCCCCACTAAGCAAAGTTTCCATGGACTCATGAGGGGATTGAGGTATCCGAAAAGCTACCAGATGATAGCGTCAAAATTCTAACAATTAACATATTTCTAAACATATTATTGGGCATCCTTCTGCATATAGGGCTATTAGTATCCCTAAGAAATGGTTAGTGAGACAAGGACTGAGCACTGATATGGCTTCATTATATTTCTTCATGGATTTTATAAAACAACAGTTGGACCTTATCCTCGGGGATGCGTAGGTGGTATTTCCTTGAGAAAATATTTTGGAAGATTTTTTGGTTTGGAGAGGCCCATAATCTCATAGATTTGACTTTGATCTTTTGGGCATCCTTGAGACATACATGGAGTTCTCCCGTGTTCAAATATTTAACAACATACATCCAACCCAGGAACACTTCGTCGCTCATGATCGGGAGGGTCTCTATCGTGTATCGACTTGCTGATACTGAAGATACTCCACAGTTATCCTCTAAGTGATATTAACCCTTAAAAGTGACATTTCAATACATTAAGAGGGTTAATTACATGCAATCTGTGTTTAATTTTTTATAATTTATATGATTTCAATTGTATAGGGTAAATCTAGAGGGTAACATAAAGTGCAAGGTACAAGGAGTAATTTGGTAAAGTTTGGGGTTAGTAAAGTTGAAAAATCGACCAAAAGAGTAAAAAGCAAAAACTTCTACAAGGCAGCCATTGTCCAGACTCCACAACCATTTGAGATTCTTGATTAATGGCCGCAATTTGGAAGAAAATTTGGACAAGCTAAAAGAAACCACCGTTCGGATGCCACTTCCACCATCTAGATGCCCTTTTCCAAATGCAAAATTAAGCCTGAAGAATCCTATTCCATAGAGTTTTCACCATCCGGATGCCACTGCCACCGTCCAGACGCTGCTCTTCGAAGTTGCATTTCTTATTTTTTATTTCAACCCTTGGAATTGGTCCTTTTTGCCACCTATTGCTTCCTATCTCCATCTATAAATACACTCTTAGTCCTTAGAGTTAGAGAATGCTTGGAGGTTGCTTTGGAGCATTCCTCTCTCAAATACTCTCTAGATTTTGTAATGTTTACATTTCCTATCTTTTATATTTCTTGCTTAGCTATCTTCTTCATTTGGAGGGATGAACTTCTCTCACCTTTCTAGCTCTCTTGAAGCCATGAAAGGTAATTAGTATTTCATTAATTCTTTAGTGAAGAAAGAAGCATTGTACTTGTCTTTTGTAATTTGTATCTTCTTCATTTGGAGAGATGATCTTCACCCATTTTTCAAACTTCCCTAGAAGTCATGAAAGGTGAGTTGTATTTTATTCATTCTTTAGTGAAGAAAGAGTTTGTATTCATCTTTTGTAATTGTAGTTCTTTTTACTTAGAGGGATGAGATTCTTTCACTTTTCTAGCTCACTTGTGGCCAGGAAGAGTGAGTAGTTTCTCATCCACTCTGTAGTGAAAGGTGATGGATTTGTCATTCTTTGTTTGAGTAATATATTTGTGCAATTTCTATTATACTTAATTGGTTCATTTAACTTTTGAATGATTGAATGTATCTAGCAAAACTAAAGTACTTTGTATAATTTTTTGATCACTTATAGACAAGTGAAGTCTTTTATAGGTGATGTTTATGATTCCCTACAAGTACTCAAGCTAGGTTTTTATAACAATCTTTCAATCTTCATTTCCATTGTGCTTAACCATATAATTGATTAACTTATCAAGCTAGAGATTTGGTTAAAGTTGTTTGATTAGTTATAGATTATTTAAGTCCTGGAACATTCAATGTTTATAACTCTATGCATAATGTCGAAGACTGTTCTGATCTCTAGGAATCTATGACACATGAACTCCCTCAAACTCTACCATAATTTCTTGTACCTTTTGGTGACCAACCTTCATCCTGGTGTCACGGGCCTCAAACTCTCTATTAATTTGGTTCACAATCAATTCTAAATTTCCAAATACATATAAATTGTTAATCCCAATTGTCTTTGCCATGTGGAGACCCGATATAAGAGCTTTGTGATTGGCATTATTGATACTTCAAATCTAAGATTGATCGCTTGCTCAATCATAAACCCTTTAAGGCTGGTTAAAACCACTCTTATCCTTGCCCCAAGGAATTGGATGATTTGTCCCCGTGTATTCTCCAAGTCCCATGGGGGACTTATGGGGTCTCTAGTGGTGCCTCCTCTACGATAGTTGGCTTGGGTTGAGTAAACTCGGTGATAAAGTCAGCCAATACTTGCCCCTTGATAGATACCCAAGGTTAGTACTGGATATTCAATTCCCCTAGCTCGACGACCCACTGGCAATCCTCCCTGTTAGTTCTACCTTCTGAAATATAGTCTTCAATGGCTAGTCGGAAAAAACAACAATGGGGGTGAGCTTTGAAGTAGTGCCTAAGTTTTCTGGTCGCAGTCACCAAAGCCAAGGCTATCTTTTCCAATAGGAGGTATCTGGTCTCAGGATCCGAAAAGGACTTGCTGACGTAATAAACTAGCTAAGGGTGACAAATTCTAACATAACATGAAAACACAACTTGAAATCAACATGAATTAGTGAGTTAAAGTTGACCATTTCTCGACACGAACTCATGTATGACACAACCCACTAACACGAATAATAAATAAGTTGTGTTAGTTTCAAATACGAACAATACAAAATTGACATGATTAATACGTTTACGTAGTATTATAAGAATAAAATGTATATTTTTTGATTATATTTTATCAAGTAGTGACCTAATTCTTGTACAAAAAAATATATTTTTACTCATTCTTATTATTATATTTATTAAGTTAATTTTTAGTTTATAAAAAGAATATGAGCATAGGTTCGATTGGATGATAATAAAATTTTAGATATAAAACTAAGCTTTAAATTTTTTATGAGTCAACACAAATGCAACATGAAAATAAATAAGATGACATGACATGATTAATTCAACAGATTGGGTTAAAGTTAACTAGTACTCGACATAAATCCGAAATGACATAACATGAACACTACCCAACACGACACGATTGTCATCCCTAAAACCATCTTCTGCTCTAACGTATGCTCCCTAAGTAGGGTTGTACTGATTGCATTTTTGGACATCACCAAGTAAAGATAGAGAGCCTCCCAGGGATTCGACGCCGAGAGTATGGGGGGTGACTCCAAATGTCCTTTTATCCATTGTAGTGGCTGATCACATTCAGCATCCCACATCTCCTTTTGGGCCTTCTTCAAGGCTTTGGAAAGGGCTTGCACTTGTCAAAGGATCTAGAGATAAAGCAATTATGGGTGGCCAATATCCAAGTGAGCTTTTGCATGCCTTGACCATCCAAGGCCTCTATACTTTTCGTATGGTCGGGGTTGGCCTTAAGACATCAAACGAGTCACCAAGTACCAGAGGAACTTGTTTGAGCTGATGTAAAATGAACACTTGGATGCATTCATCTTTAACCCATAGTTTTGGATTATATGAAAAGTCTCATCTAGATCCCTCGAATGGTCCCCTCGGAATTGGATTTATACGATCATTTCATTAATATAGGTCTCCATGGTGACCTCAATTTGTTTCTTGAGCATCTTGTTCATTAGGCATTGATATGTAGCCCCTGCATTAGGGTACAATGGGATCTGGTGGTAGCCTACCCAAGCATCCCATGAAGGTCATTTGTTCATGCCCCACAGTCATGCCCTACGGTCGCATCCACAAGTTAATCAACTTTGAACAGAAAATAGTCATCTTTTGTGCAATCCTTGTTGAG